AATTGCTTTTTTTTGTGGGAAATGCTTTGGGATGCAAAGCTTTTATTTTCTGTGCGTGCGTGCAGCGTTTTTTTTTTTTTTTTTTTTAGCTTTTTTGCTTTCTGAATTACTTCTCTTCGCTCGATTTCGTTCGCAGCTTGAGCTTTTGAAATTTTCTTTCTTTCCTTTACTTTTTTTGGGGGGGGGGGGAGGGGGGGGAGGGGCATGCTAAAAGACGATTGTTTGCGCGTCCCGGGGGGTAAGTTCGATATAGCCAATGTGTTGTTCGTTATAAAAAGTATCTTTTACGTGCATTTTTATTTAAATTTTCCGCGAGTTCGATATTAACAATTCGCTGTGCATGGGTTCGTTCTGAACGGGTTTCACCGTATCGCTATATTGGCCTCGAGATCGACCTAGAGGTGGCGCTACGTTCGCGCTATCATCATCATCAAAGCGGGGATAGGAGAACGGCCGCCCCATAGGCTCTCCACGTTCGCGCGCGAGACGGCGTAGATTCATGCGTTTATTTTGTCGCATACTAACGGTGGGGAAACAATTCTAGCGGAAAAGGGTGCGGTAGTGTTCAATGCTTCAGTGAAGATCGAATCGTGTTGCCAGCGTGCGGCCTAAATTTATATAATCGCTTCTGTGGGTGCGTCGTCTGCTCCAGGCAGACGTTGGAAGGCATGGATCACCACGACTGATGCCTGTCTCCGGCTGAACTGGAATATTTATGTTAAATATTTGTTTCTTTTAAAAATGAATGTATCGGTTCATCAACGTGGGAATTTAAAGAAAAAGCAATAAATTTCAACCCAGATAACATAATACTGGTGCTGTAGGCTGTGAAATCGCAGCTTTTATGCTTTTTTTTAAACTTCTAGCTTTTCCAGTAATATAAATATTTATAATGAAAATAAGTTAGCGCTGTATCGGAAATTACCTTACTATTGAGTTCCTCTCACCTTTTACTGTGCCATAGTGTGGGTAAGTTTTCTGGAGTCTGGACAAATCTACTGCGTTGCGATGAGGAGATAGTGTCTCTTCTAGTTAAGATCTGCAAACTGCACGGTTTGCAGGACAACTGAAACAAACTGTTCGAATATATCTGCCGTGACAGTAATAAACGGGTGTAACCGAGCAACGCAGCAATGTACCTGTTATTAGATGCTTTTATCGGTAGTGTGGGTTCGCCCGCTTCAATTTTCTTGGGCCGCGGATGTCACTATAAATTTCTGGCTAAATAATCTTGTATTCAAACATAGTAGACTCTGCAACCCCAACAAACGACGCGCACCACGACACAGACAGCATCGGCCGCACTGATATTCTTTTACTGATGAGGGCTAGCGACCTTCACGAGACTTTCCGATCACCCTCCGCCCTCACCTAACGGATATCGGGACTGGGCATTTGATCGATTAACTTTCAGATTATTCAAGTAATGCTTTAATTGCAATTCTTTTTGCCGGTTCAACAAGGAGTCAACAAGGAGTAAAAAATGCCTGCTTTAATGTTTTTGACATCTTTATTTTTTTTGTGACACAGGCTTGCACGGTAAACCACTTCAGCGTGCTTGTCATTTCACCGAGAGTGATTATACTGTTTAAATAATAACTTTAAAAAATACTTCATTTTAAAAGGCTTCCCGTGTTCATATTTATGTAGGACTCACAACTTGAAGTTTAGAATGGGTATGCAATATGCCATTTATGACATAGTAAAACCAGTAAAAAAAAATGTGTAGTTTTAACGTCTTTCATGCTATATGACCGGCGAAATATCAACATACGGAGTTATCGATTGATTAGTCTATTAAAGGATAGCGATCAGTCGGGTTAATTTTCTAATCAAACCAAAGACCCACTCAACATTCAATGCTTTATGAAAGCCACGATTTGTGCGAGATAACAAAAATACGTGGGACCAGCGATTGTATACAAACCAACACACTAAGGTTATGGAAGTTTCCGACTTAATAATAATCGCTTTGCTTAATTTCTACGCACGGGAAACGATACAACACAACCTTTAGTGAGAAGAAATGGCAACAAAAACATAAAGCATTTAATAAGGAATGTCAAGCTCAGCCGGAAACGGGCTTGCGTCGTCGAGATCTACGCTTCTGAGCGTGCGCCCGTAGCAGACGACGCACGGCGGTATCCCCGCTTTCGCGCGTTTCCAATTTTGGCCGCACGGTGGCGACACGGTTCGATCTCGAGGCGAATATGAGTGACGTTTGTGGGTTTTGCAGCGTCCCACCTATCGCTCCAGCCTTGGTTTGTGAGCTCCAAGTTTCGGTTCTTGAACACAGGAGAAAAGACATACTGCCGCCGTCTATCGAGTGGCCCGAAACCCTTCCAACCTCCGTACTAAAGAACCGTAATAAAAAAAAGTATAGCTGCTCGCGGAACATTACTAATTTCCCCTTTTATGCTGAGAATTGATATATATATGCAGGAGCCTTTTAGATTAGATATATGTTCTCTTATCAAGACGCACGCGTTTCAAACGCCAGAAGCATATCGCTTCAGCCTCCGACAATCAAATATTGTAAGAACTACTTCGCGCGGCGCATGAACATTGAGCAAAACTTCATTTTTTCTTGAGGTGCAAACGGGTATAGACTCAAGGCTTTGCAGCGTTTGCAGTGCCTATATCCTTGTCATCACTATTTTAAGAACGTTAAAAGAATGATACGTAAAATGTAGGGTGGCACTAGTGGATCCGTCGATGTAAAACGAACCGGAAAAGTCGGCACGGAGACGTCAGTACTTTGAGCTCTGACTAAAGCGATCAGTGGATAGACGTAGAGCTAGCGGTCGTTAGGGAGTTTTCGTAGATCGTTTTCGCCGTCCCGCAAGGCCCTCCGCAACCCGCTACGATAGCGGGAACTCCACAGTCAAGGCTATCGGCGCGCAGGCGCAGTAGCAACTTCTTCGTTGCGGAAAGCTTAGCGGAGGGGGCAACGCGGTCTACGAAAACTCCCTTTTGTCACTACTCTGTTCGCACACGTTCGAACGCGAACGCTGGCGCAATCGAAGGCGTTTGAAGTGCGAGTAGAAACGGGCAGCTAACTTCGCGGTCTACCCGCTATTCATTTCAACCAGAGCTCAGCGTTCTGACGTTCTCGCTCGCTCTCGTCCTCTTCTCTTTCTCAGCTTTTCGTCATATTAACTTGTAGTGCCGTCTCGCGATAGTCACAGCGAGCAGATGACGCACCCTGCTGCCCGCTCGCTCCGTTTATCGGGAGATGGCGCCACGAGTTAATAGCGTCGCTAACTCAGTCGTCTGCAAACACGCTCGATGTTGACTTTGGCAAGTTTAGTGCTCTTTATTTGTACTTTTACAGAAAGAGAAATATGCCTTCAAATTTCACAGTAAAACTGACGTGATCAATCCTATGTGCAGGCACCGATTTTTCCAGCTCATTTTACAGCGAAAGGTCCGCTTGTGCCACCCAGCATACGAAGATCGGATGTGTTCTAGGGCTTCCCGATAGGTGCCACCTGCATAACTGTACCACTCAGGCGCAATTGTGTGACCGAGCCTTCAGCATTTCCTCACTGCGCCAACGCCACGGTGATATGAAGTGATTACCGGACTTTGTTGATACACGCCAGCGATCAGAACATGTGCTTTACGAGAGAATACCTCATCATGATCCAAGATCTCAGAAGTGCCAGGTACAACCTAGTTCTGGTAATTAACCAAACCCTTTCAAGTGGTATTCACGGTGCTTCAAAACACGAACTAGGGGGTAGGTCAAGTTGATGCAGCTTTCTCGTCTCTAACTGCTCCAGTAATTCCAAGGCCTTAGAATATATTCCGAATAACTGAAAAAGAGGTGGTGACGACGGCATGCGGGGACATCAGAACGCCGAGCTCTGGTTAGAATGATTAGTGGGGAGACCTAAAGCTAACTGCCTTTCTCTCTACTGCACACGTCGAACGCGTTAGAGCACGGAGCGTCGGCATTCAACGTTTGGCTTTTGCATTCGACGAGTGCAGTGGAGACAAAGGCAGCTAAATTTGAGTCCACCCATTAATCATTCCGACCAGAGCTCAGCATTCTGACGACATGCGCGCTCTCGTCTTCTCTCCCCCAGTTTCTGCTGGCATAAGGATTTGTTAGGAGCGCACATTACCTCCGCAGTACCAAGCATTACAGACTATAAATAGCCCAAAGTATTTTTTTTTCTTCCTTTTTGCATGTGCTTTACATGAATATACACATAAATGTGGAGCAACTTACACAATAATGGCCGGAAAACAAACAAGAGGCTAACTGCAAGAACCACATACTGTAAATGATGTTATACACACAAGCCCAATATTTTGAGTGCCAGAATAGTAGTTTTCAGAATATTTTGCTGTTCCTAATTAGGCCTAATGTATGGACAATGTATAAGCGTGATTGACATTTCACACTATTTTGCAATTCACAAAATTAAGTCAATACAAGGTAGAAGTAATTTATTGTGTGAAGAATAGCATCCCGATACTAATGGGCAGACGTGTGATGCAAATGTCCGCAACCTCCAATGCTGCATGCGGAGATGGCACCGACTTGAGACAGTACTCGCACGATAACAGATACCGAGAGAGATCAGAGCAAAATACACAGCTGTAAGTGGAGTTAGCTGGTTCTAACATGTGCAGCCTCAATTCATGCATAAGGGTTCTGTGTATTCACACATTTCCATGCTAGTGACCGACCGCATTGCAACTGCCTGCAAGAACAAACCAGCCCATGGTGCCATTCATCAGTAGCCCTGGAACCCTCCTGACGGAAGGTGTTAACAGCGTTTACGAGATCAAATCTATGTACCACCTACGAGAAATGGCGGCTTATAACATTTTCAACATTATTTCAAACTTACTGAAAAAGAATGATGTATAAAAAATTAATACACATGGATAGGAAGTATTCCAGCGCTGCCTGGTAGACGGCACCAGCGTGTTTCTTATCGTGAGTAATCGTAAACAGTTGCAAAGCGCTCGATCAGACTCAAATGCAAATGTGCAAACCAGCCTTTATTTATGTGTATGCAAGGAAGAAGAGAGCCATGCAAGACCCTTCACACTTTAATCTCAATGCCAGTGTTTCTGGACACCTATTTACACACGATGAGCGTGAACATGATGCACTTGGTGGCCACCACCGACCAAATCAACACTCAGCACGGTGAAGCAATGGTTTCGTTGTCGTCGTCCATAGATTTTTCCTTGTTTTCTCCCCCTGCCATGTCCCTGATGTCTTTGAGCAGGACATCTTGTACCAGAGGGTAGATTTGGTGGCAGGCACTGACAAGAGCCTTCATGTCCTGAAAATAGAGCCACGGACAAAGAAGTCACTCCCAAGTCCACCAACGTAAAAGTATGCCGAATAAACAGCAGAGCTGTGCCAGCCCTGTCGTTGTTGCAATGCACCCTTTACGTTATGGTCAAATGTTTAACGAAAAAACTCTTTCCTAAACTAAATACTTGTTTTCACCTCAAGAAAAGGAAGGTTTTCCACATTGTTCATATGCCACGAGAAGCAGTTCTTACAAGATTTGGTTGTCGAAGAGAGAAGCAATGCTTTGGGCGTTTGAAACGTGTACATCTTGATAAGATAACAAATACCTAATCTAAAATGTATCTGCATATATCTTAATTCTCTACAAAAAGGGAGAAATTAGTGACGCTCGGCGAGGCGCCAGAATTTTTTTACCACCATCCTTGAGGTGAAAACGACCATAGTGGCCGAAACATTGATATAACCTTTGTCATGCTAATGGCAGTAAAAATGTTGTTTAGTTGAGCCACACTTTTGCACGTCAATGGGAAACGCGAGTGTGCACTTCACCATACAGTTTTCTTTTAATCTGTTTCAGGTTTCATGGTGACAAAAAAACTACCTGTTTCTATGAGGCACTGACCTGCGTAAACCATTTTATAAAATAATTCACAACATCGAAGGCCCAATGTATCTGAAGAACCTGTATACAAAAAGTAGTGCCCCGCTCTCTTCATCTCGAGATTCTTTCTCTTTCCCCACCTTTGCAAGTCTCTCCCTTTCCCATCTCGATGCTAATGTCGCCTAAGCGGCCTCTCTGCCCTGTGCCTTAGCAGAAGGGGCTGTGATTAGCCAACAAAAGGCTAAAATGGCGGAGGGAAGTGAAAAACCGAAACCAGATGAACAATTGACCAATCAGTGGTAGTGCGAGGAGGAATTTTCTAAAACAAACAATAAATTTTAGACTTTTTTTTTTCTTTTTTAGACAGTGATTGGTGGTACTTTTCGTATACAGGTTCTTCAGATACACTGGGCCTTTGATGTTGTGAATTATTTTGAAGTACAGCACAGTACTGGAAGTTCAAGTGTACAGAGTGCTTGCCAACTGATCGATTCGACGGAAGCCCAAAATTAATGCTGATGCATTGCTCATATCCAAACATGCGTTGCATTGTGCCAACATCTGGAATGGACCGGGCTATCTGCTTCGATGCATATCTTTACTTCTACCTTCACTCGTGAGTTCACTCCTATCATCATCCGTGACATGCTAATGGCAACCTTCGTCTCCAGAAGGCCGCCATTAGCACGTCAAAGATGATGATAGAAGTGCGTGGGTGGGTCTCCCGTGATTGCGAAAGCATGGCACCTCAAATGCTACAGCGGTGAGTTTTGCACAGCCTTAGTCCATTCCCCAATGATGGCAGTTGTCTTTGCCCGTTCACATCCACACCGCTTCGAGGCGTCATGTTTTGGAAACGTCTCCCTAAACAGCGCTGCAACCTGGTCAATCATGACTGGCAGCAGATTATGCTAGAAACGAAAACTCATGAGAAAGCGTTCCGCACAATTCAGGCTGTCCTCTCAGTTATTTTCAAATAAAGTTCTAAATTTTTCCCGGCTTTTCTGCGACCCGAAGCTAGTTCAGGTGCTTCTGAGAAACGATGTAGACCTTGACGTCGCAGGTGCAAATCTTACCAGCTCCAAACCTGTCACCTCTTCTTGATGACAAGTAACTAGGAAACCTAGTTGCACAGGACTTCAGGAACACAAGAAAAAATTCTTGAGTTTAGACAATGCCATCAGTCATAACCAAACTCCAAAACAAGAAACAAAAGAAGCCCTGACGTGGTCCAGAATGAGGCTGCCCTTAGATAGCCGCAATTCAACGCCGACTCACAAACAGATGCATGTTGACAATAGCAATGTGGCTACACAACGTAAAAAAATAAAAAAAAATAAAAATTTCTGTTGATCTATACAACGTTGATGCCATTTTACGGGGGATCCAAAGTGACGACCATATAATCGGAACATGCAAACGGAATTCGGGAGATTTCTGGACAATTTGGGAAACTTGGCAGATGTGTGCTTCTGTTCAAAGCGGTTTTGAAAGGTAGGTAATTATTTTCTCGTTTCTTCTTCAGCGAGGCAGACATCACGGTAGACACAGCAGTGGCTGGTGGCTGGCAATGAGAGAGATGCCCTTATATTCCAGTGGGAAAAAGAAGAATGGAAATGCATGTAACGTAAGAAACACCCGCACCACAAGCATGGGCATGGATCATAGCTGTCAATGCCCATGCCATGTACCCACGCGACCGGGGTTGTTTTGTCGTGCAATAAACATCCATTTCAACGAGGCCAGGCCTGTCTCAAGTCTGATGCATCCCTTGGAAAAGAAGCACACCTCACCGCAACGACAGACGCAGCATCCAGGTCCCCGTCTTGTACCAGAGCTGCCACTTGCTGCAAGGCCGGCATGAAACCCAGCGTCATGCGACCAAAGCTCAGCTCCAAATTTCTCTCCTCCTGAAATGAAGAGCTCAATTCGTTAGCCAGCAAGTAGCACATCCTTTTGCCATGCTTTTACCTCAAGGTTTGATGGCACTGCTCACAAAAGCTAAGCTTTCATTTGAGCGTAACTTACCCATGAGAACACCAGTCGTTCTTCTAGTCTTGCAAAAGGCGGGGGAAAAGCAAAAGCCTTAAAGAGCACGAAACAGAAGAGCAGAGACCAGGCATGCATTTCAAACAACCAATACAGTTTTTGGAATGAACAAAGGAGATAGAGCACCCCACGGACACTGTTAGGATGCAAGGCCAAATCACCACCAACCACCTTATAATGTGTACTCAAAAGCTGGACCGAGATCGATCATTCCGAAAATCCATAATGCGAAAAACCACAGCACACCACAAACCCCAGTAAAAGCATTTCAAACCAAGCGAAGCCATAGTCAAAGCCAAGGTTTGTTCAAAAGCCAAACAGAGCCAAGGAGCTTTCAGCTTGAGAAGCTGAACCAAGCTGATAAATAAGTTTGGCGGAAATAAAGACAAACTCACCACTGGCGCCGTCTCCTCATCATGTGTTGGGTCTATTAAGCAGGTGTGGCCCTCTTGACGCTGCAATTGTTTTCCCAAATATATACAACCATAAGCCTTACAGCTAGAAATGAAATAGACGTTAGCCACCACAAACAAGATTTAGAGAGATTTCAAACAAGGAGAGATTTCGGTGAGCAGGTAGATTTATGATCAATATTCAATAGAACTCATTGGGTCGTTACACTATGCCACTGTCTTTTAAAGCACCACAAGGGGTTAAATTTTTGTGCAGAGAAAATCGGAATGTTGCTGGCCTTCAATGACAACAATTTAAGATGCTTACTATGAATGCTAACATAAGCTGCGAACGTGCGAAACCTATCTGCCTCCATTACAAACACGGGTTTACGAAATAGTGCAGTCCACTTATAACAATACCACTTATAACGATATATCGGTTATAACGATCAATTTTTGTAGAAGCATCAATGTTTGCATTGGTTCTATGTAAAAATAAACCATATATAGCGATGAATTTTTCCCGGCATATAGGATATAACTATCAATAAATGATAGCGTAGAATGTGTTTACTACGAAAATTCAACAGAAAATGAGATAAAAATAGTGAAATTCCGCGAAGAAACGACCGAAATCGGCGGACGCGATCATCGCCGATGGGCCCCAACCAAATACTCCGTGAGTAGGCACTGCACGCGGCCTTAAAACGTCGGTGCTATCATCATCATCATACCCGTAACCTCGTAACCCCTCCCCGCCCTCCTCTTCCCTGCGTCGCTGGCGTGAAAGATGGCTCCGACGAAGCGAAAAGCTATCTCTTTCGAGGAGAAAAAGCAAATCCTACGTGACTGGCGGCAACGATTCAAGGTCGGAAGTCTCGTCCGGAAGTATGAGCACTCTCAGTCGACGTTATCGACCATCCTGAAATCCGGGGACGTCGTAATAAAGAAGGCTGGAACAAGCGGCTTTGACGACCAGCGGAAAAGGCTTAGGGAAGCCTTGTACGAGGATGTTGAGGAGGCCCTGTACCAGTGGTTTCTTACGATCCAAAACGAGAACATGCTTTGGATTTTTTTGTAGCGTGTTTGACACCATTTCATTGCGTGCTTGCTGATGACCCTACAATAAAACTTTGTTATATAGCGGCGCTTCTTCTATGGTGCGATTCGGTAAACACTGGTGAGTAACCTTCTGCTTGGGGGAACTATTTTGGGCAGTTTTCAGGGTCAGTCCGGATACAACGATAATCGGTTATAACGATCGGATGTTCCGCATTTAATAATATTGTCACGGGTGTTGACCAAAAACAACAAATAAACAAAAAGAAATGAACGTTTAATGTGGCGAACTTGTGCCAAAAATAAAAGAGAACAAAAGATAATAATAGAGCGTCGCGGGCGTCGAAGTCGGCGTGGCAGCAGAGTCGAACGCTGGGGCGAGACTGAATCCTGCTTGCCAGGCGGAGCCGCTTTTGTACACGCGTTGGCTTCTGGAGCATTCGATGTAGAAGGTTCGACGCGGAGAACATTCTAACCTCGAATCAGCTAGACGGTTCTCGAATTCACCAGAACATCACATTACAGTGTAAACAAAAATGCGTAGCCGCGGCCAGGAATCGAACCCTGGCCCTTCGCGTGGGAGGTAAGCGCGATAACCGTTAAGGCCCGTTCACACTCTTGCAACCGAGTACGACCGAGAGAGGCCAGACCGGTTTTTAAGCCTCTTGCGACCTCTTAGAACCGGATGCGCTACAGCGGAGCTGGTCCTAAGAAGTCGCAAGAGGCTTAAAAACCGGTCTGGTCTCTCTCAGTCGTACTCGGTTGCAAGAGTGTGAACGGACCTTTAGGCTACGGCCGCGCTGCCTACTTGGCGCGCGGCAATATCGTTATAAGTGGACTGGACCGTATGTCCTTCTCCATGGGTTCTTTTATACAAAGAATGCACCGTTGAGCCACTCCGCCAAAGATAAAGCTATCGCACTACGCTAAATGGCGCGAACGAGAGGGACTTGGGCCGCCAGGGACAAATGTGATGCTTCACCAACCATCACATAGGCTGCCCTTGTGTCGAAGTTCATAGCTACGCGGAGGAGGAATGTCTGCAGCCACATTTTTTCAAAAGTGTCTACTGCTCTGAAAAACCAATCACAATGTGTAATAGTATGATAAAAGTTTAAATGGAGCACAGTTGCCTTTCAATGTACTACAGTAACAGTAAAACTGCCTTACCAAGCCGCAGCCAATCACCATGTCGTACATGTCAATGCCTGCATCAGCCAGGGCCAGTCCCGCTGTCGTGATTGCACCTGCCAGGGCTAGACGAGGAAGGAAGAAAAGCACTTGCAGTTATGAAGGATCACCTACAAGAGTCGGAAACCCCAGAATCAGAAGAGGCACGTACCGCCGCCATCGTTTTCGATCACAAAGACGAAAACATCGACCGTTGATTTAGGAAACTTGTGCTGCAACAATGTAACATCATTATCATTATTAAAGAACTTTATTTTCCATTTCGATACATAAATGGAGGGAACAAGGGACAAAAGCTGTGAAAACAGCTTGACGGAGCCCCTTGCTCCCGTCTAGTGGCATATACATAGGGTTGTTCATTTTCGGGTAAAACCCGATTTTACCCGATTTTTACAGACCGAACATGTTTCAGGAGAATCGGGTTAAACCTGATTTTTCCCCGAATTCCAAAACCAGATAACCAACCTATTTATTATTATGCCGCACGGAGTTTGCGTGCACACACACTATCAGCCCTACTTAGGGACAACAGTGACCTATAGTTCATTTCGCAAGCTGTGACATTCTACGGAGGCCGGCTGAAGAAAAGCGACAATAGGCGTTGGGACCTCGGAGGGACATTTCCGTCCCCCCGCTGTGTAGGTGGAACCGCCTCGGCACGCCACGTAGCTTCAACCCTGTTGCACCCAGCTTGTGAAATGCACTATCGATCTCCCTTCGACTGCTGTTAGGTGTCGACGCCCAGCAGGGTCTCTCGGGTAGCACGGCCATCTCGCTGGCGGTCTACCTTTCTCACGAACAACGTCCGAGCCAGTCAGTTGCGTAAACAGATCGGGACAACTTAACAGATTTATTCTATAGCGAAATATCTGATCGAAGACGACCGTCCCTCGAACGATCGGGGTTTTTGTTAACACCTGAGAGAGAGGAGGATTCCGTGGGCGGCGCTTCCCTTGAAGCGACCGACGGCAGTCGGAGCTGGAAAACCTTGATATCTTCCCGATTACCAGCTTGAAACAGATCCCTAGTCTTAATGCATTAGCATTAAGAAACTCTTAATACCCTACAATAAAAAATAAAAATAAAAACAAATGTATTACTGAGTACTTTGTAAATTTAACCCGAAAAAACCCGAATTTCGGAATGTTTCCACAAAAAACCTGATTTCTCCCTGATTATCAGCTTGAAAAATAGCACCCGATTCTTACCACCCCGAATTTAAAAAAAATGTAGAACCCGAAAACGAACAACCCTACATATACAGAAGTCAACACAAAGCAACAGCGAAAAACACTGAGAAAACCGACATAACAAAGTAAAATACAAGACTAAACAGGTCTCATAAATCGATTCATTCGTTTTCACCCCACAATAGTTCAGTTCGTAATTCCTGAATTGCAACAGAAATAATATCAATGCTATTTTTTATTAGGGAGTTCAATATATAATAGGAAGTGTGTATCTGAGTCACTGCATTGAATAGTTGTTGTGACACAGTGGCACAGTCCAATGTTCCGCTGACGAAGTTGGGTAGGAAGTTGCATGCTCTTTTAGCTCCGCAAGGTTTACTAAGCTATCCCCATTTCTTTTATTTTCTCACTTAAAACGGATCGCATGTCTATACTTGTACATGTTGTAAACAGAAAGTATACTATATTTTATGAACAGACCCTGGGTGCTAGAGTCTTAAGAAGCATTCTCAATGAGACGCACATATTTTTTTTTTGCAATAGGAGTATTTTTTTAAATTTGTGCGGGTGGTTGTGCTCCAAACTAGATAACAATAATTCAGGTGAGAAAGAAATGAAGTCTGGTATAAAAGAAACTTAACATTTCTCGGTAGAACAAAACGGTTACGAGAAGCTGGTCCAATGACCTTTGACTATCTAGTGCGTAAATCATTTACATGATTTTCCCAAGATAAGTACAGATTGAAAATTACACCTGAACTCTTAAAATTATCTACAATATCTATATACTTTGCATTTAGGACAAGGGTCTTAGTTGTAGAAACATTTTTGTTTTTAGGCTGAAAGATGATTGCCTTCATCTTACTTGCATTGACGTTTAGCGCGTTATCTGAGGACCATTTTTGCAACGCTGTTAGGGCTCCGTTTGCGCAGCTGATAAGCTCGTCGCCAGTCTCGCCAGAAAAGAAGAGGCTCGTGTCGTCCGCGTATATTATGAATTTAGCCAGTGGATTTATGTTTACAACATCATTAATGTATATATTAAACAGTAACGGCCCTAAGATGCTTCCTTGTGGTACACCGGATATAATTGTCTTTGTTGAAGACTTGACACCATTAAAGGGCAACTCCGCTTCATTTTTGATATTTAGAAAACTATGTAGCCCTCTTCAGTATCATATAGGAAGACCCCACGTCAGATATTACGATCTAATTCCGTTTATTTATTTAATAAACTGGCCAGCAAACCTTCAAGCGAGCCAAGTCGCCGAAATCTGCCAACTCTAGCGCGCGGCGCGAGGCGCAATCAGTGGCGTACCAACTTGTTTTTGAGTGGGGGGGCAAACCAGACCCTCTCCCCCCCCCCCCCCCCCCCCCCCCCCCCCAAATCGAAAATTCGGCGCAACTTTTGTCCAACTTTTCTAAAGATTTGGCAATGATTCGGCAAAATTACAACGTTACCAGACTTAACATTGATATTTTGTTTTTTCTCACGAAAAAAATTTTGCTTCTTCTTCTTAAAATAAATACAACTTGTAGTGCCTATTGAAAGAGTTATGACTAAATAAGGTGATATTCTAGAAGATAATTGTATCGATGTCGCTTTTGTGTGTTTACTTGTAATTTTGGTGTATGCTTCCAGAAAGTGGCGTGACAACGTGGTTGGGTAGTAGCCGGCACAGTCACGAATCACACTACGAGAGCTTTGATTTTGAGGCTTCATCAGCGCACGCCTGCAAGTGTGTTTACATTGTTAAAATAAAGGCAATCACTGCGTTCTTACTTTCTCTGGTAGTCGCCGTTTCGTGCGCGAAAACGGATGCAACGGTTGCTGAGCCTTCACCAGAAGAGATAACAATATTGTAAATATGCATGTTTTTCGATTTGAGTCACTTGACGTCAGCTTTGCATGAAAGTGCGCGTTCCATATTCGCAACGTGCCGTTTTTAACCTTTAAAATTCCGGTTTCTGGTGTTCGGACACACACGGACGTTTAGGAAGATGGGGAGAGTTAGGAATGGTCGGATGTGCAACGTCGACCATGATAGTTCTGTGTTTAACGAATATTTTTCATCAGTGTTTACTAACGAGTGCTTGGACTCCGTCCCCACTCTCCCTGAAGAGCTTTACGAGCGCATGCATCCTATTACGTTAACTCCGCCGGTATTATAACATTGATTGATAAACTAAAACTTACTTCGTCCGCTGGAACCGATAACATCAACTCTAAAATTTAAAAGAAACACCAGTGTTATTTCGAGTGAGTATTTAAAACTTATCTTTATTCAGTCCTTATCACAAAGGTGCCTTCCATCTGACCAAAAGGTGGGAAGGGTAATTCCCAGTCTTTAAACAGGGCAGCCGCTCTTCCGCATATAATTATCGCCCTAATTCATTGACTTCAATTTCTTGCAAACTACTTGAGCATATCCTCTACTCCAATATCATGAGGTACCTATCATCCCATTTCTTTTCTTTAAACAGCAGCACGGTTTTCAAAAAGGTACACTCTCCGGCAATATGAAAGACCCACTGGGAGCGCGTGGCCGAGGCGGTGGCTGGCGGGGGCGCTGCGAGCCCTCCGGGCAATTCCATTCTGCTTCGAGGGGAGGACGCTCACTCGGGCTCAGATAAAGCGAAACGCGCTTATCAGTTTGTGCCGAGTGCCGAATGAGCGTCCTCCCCTCGAAGCAGAATGGAACTGCCCGGAGCGCTCGCAGCGCCCCCACCAGCCACCGCCTCGGCCACGCGCTCCCAGTGGGTCTTTCATATCGCCGGAGACTGTACTTTCCTGCGAAACACAACTCTGCGACTTCATCCATGACTTGCACACTAACCTTGAACCTTGAACCTTGAAATGAAAAAAACTGACGCAGTTTTTTTTTTTTTTTTCCATAGCGTTCGGCCGTGTTTTTTTATCAACGCCTTCTTTCTAAGCTATCATCTTTTTGCCTCGACCAAATAACCGTTTGATAGATTCGTGACTTTCTTTTTTCCCGTGTACAGGTCACGTCCATGATGATCATGAATCTTCCTTAATAAATGTATCTCCTGGTGTTCCCCTGGGGTTCGTACTTGGGCCCTTACTCTTTTTAATATTTATTAATGACATCCCCATTGGGATTTCTTAAAAAAAAACGCTTTTTCGCCGACGACTGCGTCATCCATAACAAAGTAACTTGTGTGCAAAATAATAACCAGCTTCAGGAAGATCTAGAGAAAATTAACAATTGGTGCAAAGAGTGGATTATGTCATTAAACAAGTATAAACGCAAACTAATCCACTTCACCAAGAAAAAAAAAAAAAACACTGTCATTTAATTACTTCTTGTACTCCGATCTGATTGAGACCGCTACTGTGTATAAATACCTTGGTGTAAGACTAACATCTGACCTTCCCTAAAATAACCACATTGAAGTCATTACTGCCGATTCATCTGGAACTCTTGGACTAAGCAGACGTAACTTAAAAAGGGCTCCACCCTTTGTTCGTAAGCTAACCTTGGACACGTACGTCAGACCAAAAATAGAATATGCTTCAACCATCTGGAATACCCATCGACTGTACCTCATCAATACCCTGTAGAGGCAGTTCAGAACAGAGCTGCTCGCTTCATTTCATCCACTTATGACTTTTTTTTTCAGTGTCTCAGCGCTAAAAACTGAACTAACCATGTCCTCTTTGCAGCTTCGCAGAAAAGTCTCTCAGCTGTGCTTTATTCACAAAATCTACTACCACATTCCCGACCTCAAAACCACTTTGTTATTACCCCCCGACCGAACATCTTCTCGCCTCAACAACGTCTGCACCATCAAGCACATTTCTGACTCTACTAACGCTTTCAATTGGTCATTCCTTTCTCAAGCCATCAGCCACTGGAACAGTCCCCCATCCTCCATTGTCACCATCTTGGACCCTGCTGATTTCTCCTCTGCAGTAAAACTACACCTTTCTTGGCCCATGTGATGGTGTGCGGGGCTAGGCAGATAGGTGAAAACCCTTACGCAGAGCGCCTGCCGGGCCAGACTTGTACGTAGTTCAACTACTTTACTCAAGTTACTGTAGTTTAACTACTTTTCTAGGTAGTTTAGTAACTTTTAATTACATTTATATTCTAGTAATTCGTAGTTTACTTTAACTACTTTTCCGAGTGACTTCCACTCAAATTACAAATTACTTTCTAATTTTAGTGGTTGTTTTGCCTATCAACACAGAAAAGATGTCGGAAGGTCAGCTGATATTTGCAGAGGGGGAAGCATGCGGAGTAGAAAAGGGGGGGATGGGAAGGAAGAAAGTGATTTAGATAGTCCAAAAAACCCCAAAATTTTAACGAGCCCCCCCACTGCAACAACACTGCTACGAGGCGCGGGGAGCGAACAGACACGACGCAAGAGAGGTCGAGTAACTGTGGGATTAGCTCCGAATAGTGGCGTTTCTTTGTATTCCGAAGCTCAAGGAGACTTGACGCATTTGAAGAAAGGGCTTGTCCCCGCTTCTCTCCAATGTAGGTATTCTTGCCCACTACAGGAGGTGCACACACTGCTCCTTTTACGGTGCAGGCGATAGAACCCCTAACAACGACGCTCACGCCGGATGGGCTGCTCGTGTATCACTCGAAGCGCGTTAACCCACCCCCGCGCCTGCGTTCACGCCGCTTCGCGGTGACGGTGTGCGGCTGCTAATTACAAATCTATTAACCCACCTAGCCCCCCCCCCACCCCCCGTACACGCCGCTTTGCGGCGTCCGGTCGGCAACCCAAGCCCCGCTGCCCCCCATGCACTTCCGTAAATAGAGTCGATACGATTTAGTTTAGCGATGTTTCGTCAACATTAGTTTTTTTAGTGTTAATGGTAAAAAAGAAATGTAAATATCGCCAAATGCCTCGACAAAACAAAATGTTCGAGAAAAAAAATAAAAGGAAGTAAGCCGGCCCACACCATAAATAGAACCCGGGTCTGACACGTATGAGGCAGACATCTCACCACTAAGTTACGCTACCTCTTCGGAAACTCGCATTGCATCCGCTGCCTATGTTGACGGCGGCAGCGCCTATCTCCAAGCAAGCAAGCAAAACTTTATTTTGTGTAAGGGCCTACGTCCTGGTCTGGACGGCCCGTCCGGCCCATGTCTCCCGGATGGATTCCGTTAGGTTACCGTGTAGCCTTGTTCGTGGGGCAAGGCTCCACAAACCAGCCAATCCGGCGTGCGTGAGCACCGTTGCTAGGGTTTGTATCGCCTGCGCGTTAAAAATATGCCCGCGCGGGTCGGGGGGCAGTGCCCTTGGTATTCCTTGGGCGCCGCCGGCCTGTGTCTGCTCTGCCCAGTGGCGGCCGTTTCAGGGGGGGGCGAAACGCATGCCTTGCCCCCCCACTCTGAGAACTGGGGGGGCAAGTGCCCCCCTTGCACTGACTGCGCTGATGATTGCGCCCATGGGCGCAATCATCAGCGCAGTCAATGCCACGGAGTTGGATCGGCCAACGTTGAGCCACTACGTCAGAGGCATGATACGTCATTCTCACGTTTTGCTTGTTTTTACTTCTCAGAGCGAAATTGAAAGATGACGTCATGAGTTTCTCCTCCCGGTGTTGGCTGACCGGGCGTTCATGTGATCACCGAAACACGGATGCGCTACTTTGCGCTGCCCTGCGCGCTTACCGGTCTGTTTCTCCACTCCCCTTCTCTTTCGTCTTCTCCCCTTCCTCCTCTCCCTCAGGCCATCACCGTCCACGCCACGCAAAACAATCTGCCCGCGTCCAATAAAAAAAAAAAAAAAAAAAAGCCTGCCCGCGTTGCGTGTCCTGTTTCTTGCTCCCTCCCGAACGTCACAAGACCACGTGGTTCGACGTGACGTGCCATGCCTCTGACGACCCGAGACCGATGTTGCCTGACGCAGCCGAAGTTTCGGTTTCGGTATCTGCTGATGTTTGAATTAGGATTACACAAATAATATTCCACATTTCGCGAATCCGAAGACGTAGAGTTGTTTAGTAGTGCTTTGTGAATGTGAATCACAAGGAAGCCTAAATTTTTTGGAATTGAGCGGAGTTGCCCTTTAAGATGAACAAACTGTTTACGGTGACCTAAGTATGATTTAAGCAAAGAAGTGCTTGACCTCGAATTCCATAAATATCTAGCTTTTCTAGCAGCACTTAAAGTGGTTCAGTGACGTGAAAAGCAAACACAGATGCCACCACGGCTATATCATATAGTATAACAATCCTGTAAGTGCAACATGCTATCTCTGTAGTTTCTTTACTCGATAAGCCACAAACACTTGCATGGTCTGCAAGCAGCATATACCGTATTTGCCCGAGTAATAGCCGCACTTCTTATGAATAAGCCCTTGCGTCTACATTCCTGCACAACAGACATACAGCCAATTATTGTTCTCTGCATAATAGTCACAGCGAATAACGGGGTCGAGAACACGATTCTCCGTAAAAATCTGACCTGAGTAGATAGCATTTTCGCATGAAGACGCTATGTCTGTCCCGTAAATCGTTGCCATTTTTCTGCCAGTCGCAGTGATTCGCTATCCCCGCGCTTCGCAGGAAAGCAGATCCACAGACTTCATTCATAAACAGCGCGGCTATTACTCGAGCAAATACGGTAAAGAGAGGCAAACAGATTTAGTATGCGTATGGGGGAAAGTATGCTAACGCACAGCAGCTCGAAGCATGTGGAGTGAAAGCTTATACAGCAGAACTCAAGGATTGTGGGTTCAACCTCACAGCTGCTTATTTCGCTTTGGATGATCACCTTACCGGTGTGCGGTCGTGTATCACTACTGCGCGATGCCAGTTAGATTCCAAATGCAGTCGTATTGCAATGGCTTAATTTCTAATCTACAACATAAACCAGTGACGCCTTACCTTAAAGGCAAGCCGACCTTACCCTGCCTTAACACAAATGGTTTGGAAGGCGTGCTCCGTCATGAATATAGGTCACCACTCTAAAACAACCGAGGGAACTTGCCATAAGATAAAGTGTGGATATCTGGTAAAACCGAGGTCAAAAAATGGCATTCGTACCAAACACACAACCGGAGCTAGGGCTTCTTCCAGGAGTTGCGAGTACTGCCGCGCTTCGGCGTCATTCATTGCCTGTCGTCGCACCGGGCAAGAGTACTGGGCAAACTGGAACTCGCAGTTGATCTGGCCTTTGAAGGTGAAGTCCCGGCGACGGGCTATCTCTCTCGGACCGTACCTAGAACAAAACACTGCGAGGTGAGCAACGAGATACTTGTGCGCTCAAATGTGCGAGCACGCAACTTTGCATGAGCAACAACCAACGTTGGGTTTTTTGTTCCAAGGAGGTTCCTGAATTGCTGCGTATTCAGGTGATTGTGGACATGCACAATACACCCTGTTCGCAGCCCCTCTAACGCTCGAGTATTAGGCTCAAGTACTAAAAAGAAAGGTTAGAGCATTGCGGGTCCCGATTCACGTTCTACAAAGTTTTAGTCTTCGTGAGTATTTTGAGGATGATGCCCAAGTGCGGGAGCGGTTGCCAATATTATTTCAATAGGCCTGACTAGAAGCAGTTTGCGAACGATTCGTGGAGTTGTTCTAGGCCATACAGAAATATTCTTACACGGAGCATATGATCTTGGTATTGCCCATCTCGATGTAAGCCGATCCCTTGGCTTGGCTCACCACGCCGGTCTTCATAACTGGAAAAGAGGAACAGATTCAATATTGTGGCTTTGGTGACTGCAAAAGTGGTGCTAGCAGAACTGCAGTACCTAGAACCCTCCTTGAAGTGCGTGTTTACCACATCTTTATTCGGAACCCTCAATTTATGCCTGGTGAGGTTGTAACAGTGCGCTGTCACGGTTTGCCGCAATCCTAGTGACGGCACAGCGGCAGAGATAGATGCAGATGCTTGTTCCACGGCAGTTCATCGCCCTGCAGCCTGCCAGTCGACGGAAGCTTGGGCAGCATGTCAATTCCGTTATAACTATCAAGATTATGGAGTATGCTGTCGCTCCTTAAACCAACTGACCACCAGAATCGCTGCAATGGACCTTTTGCAGAAACATCGGTTCGAGAGTAAAGGGATTCGGTACCCTCTCTCTATCTTCCCTCTGGATGAGCAGAGAAGGAAGATGGCTTCTTTGAGCTTCGGGATCGAAGATAACCCACGACGGAAACAAAGGCGAAGTTTAGGGTGTCAAGTGGCCTCGAACCCCGTCGTGTGTCTAGGTGGCAGCACATATTTGAAAAAAGGTGGATTCATAGCATACCCCATTGGCTCTTGTGACATACTTTATTGCCCTTACGGGGACAATCTCTCATCCCTACATGCTGTAAGATGCTAAGCACCAATCAGAGACGTGTTCCAGGAAGATCCAGGCATTGTAGTAGGCCAACAACGAAGAAAATACACAAGGGACGAGGACAAACCAGGTATGAAAAGTGGTACTGGCTACCAGTGGTCAAGAAAAAAGAGAACAGTGTTGTTCTCAATGAAAAAATAAACTTGTGCATCAAAGAACACTCAGCCTCTGCCCAAATGTAGTGCAAGCGGTTAGGACCACATGATTTAAATCAGAATTTACCGTTTTCTAAATCAAAAGTTATAAGCGATTTTCGGAAATTTTCAATCTGAAAAAAGCTGCCAGCGAATACATGGGTATAAGTGGCATCTGCTACGGCGAATGGGCCCATTATATCAGAGGAAGTTCTTTGCACAAGCACTGGCGCCAGGCAAGTTCTCTCCAAGAATGCACCGCACACACGGAGTGCCACACGGAGAACCAGCCTTCAACGAACTTGCCAAATGCACCAAGCGCGGACTGATACTGTCGCCATCTATGTTATAGCAGTTGTAGTAAAAGTACCTATCTCAACTGAATCTAGTGCCTTTCTGTTCGACGTGACGGGTGAAAATGCGAGAGTGCAGTCGCTGCCAACGTTTATTTATAATTGTTGGTCGCTGCAACGTGTAGTGTATTTGCGATAACTTCAAGCCACTAGGCTGTCGTAGCGATAATTACAGAGGCATACGTTTCTGCAACCAGTTGACTACAAAACAGCTGGTAGCAACCTTTCAATTCTTATAGACGTTTACACTGGAGAAAACTGATGATACTCTCTGCGCAGGAGCTTGATCCATTTTAAGCATAGCATTATGCGTAAACCGCTGAAAGGGTATGGCTTAAGACTAGTTTGTTGGAATATCCAGCAACACGTTTCATGATACTTTCAATTTCTATTGTCATATACAGGTTGATCAGAATTTAGTTCCGGTGAGGGCTTTGAGAACAAGAGCTTTCTCAAACAAAATACAACGGGGAAGGCAGCTGACGTAGGTAAATGTTAAACATAACGATTTTGCCCAAGCCTCGGGTAAAGTCATTATGTTTAGCTTTCCTGGATGCTGACTGGACACGTCACAGGTTTCTGGATTCAACTTTCACAGTCACAGGTTTCTGGAATCCCAGAATCAGCTTTTCATGCTGATATTTTTGTCCTGAGCATTTCTTAACACACTGGTAAATTTCAGTGAGTCTGTATGGCAACAGAGAAATCAAAAACATGCACAATAAAGCACGGGTTGTCAATTGCTTCCTTCATGAAATGCAGACACTCACAATTCAAGCTTCCGTTTGATTCTGTTGCCTGTGGGATGGGATTTTCAGCAGATAATCTTTTTTTCGGTTCCACTGTGCAAATGACACATTGTAGTAGACAACCCCCCTCATCTGCTCTTGCTACTCGCCGGAGCGAGGCATGATGGCATTGCATTTTGGCACATGCTCGATTTTCTAGGTGGAGCGAGTGCATGCACACGTGGAGAGCTGGTGCCGAAACGAACTCGGAGAGTGCAGCCACTTGTCGAACCTGCTCCACGCGGCCAGTGGGCACGCGTGGGTACGAGCGCAGTAAAACAAACTCGCTATAACTGAAACTTTCCGAAAGTCACTTGGATGGATGAATGATAATGGTTGTAGCTTCTATAACGGGCGGTAGCTTGCGCCACCCAGCCTAGAAGTAATTAACTGTTGACTCAGATGACTAAGTTCTAGAACTTTGGCATCTGGTACCAACTGCTAGCGGTACATTTGGGCGATGCGTAGATTATTGCTGCAGTGAAAAAAAACACGGTTATCTCTTCTCTGATACACCTGGTAGGATCTCAGTAAACTGTTAACATAGTGGAAAGGGTTTCTTACAGATGGGTCGTACATCTTCAGGTCGGCGCCCGTCCTGGCGTTTCCCGGACTTTTGAATCTGCGTTAAAAAAGAAACAAAAACGTGAAAGTTCAGCAGACGGTAGCCAAGATGTCAAGGCGAACGTCTACGAGACTACGAGCGATGTCAAAGTCAAATTCGGGTGCTCGCTTCAGACGGGGCAATTTCGCCCAGCAACTTGACACCGCAACACCAGCAACACGGGCCGCCCACGTTCACACGCAGCAACCGAATTGCTACGACTTGCTATCATCATCATTTACTTTGAATTTTCTTGCACTAGTTAGACGCCCAGCTACGTGCTAAAAACATGTTTTTATATCTTTGAATGACGTTGAGAATACTAACTCATCTTTCTGAAAAGGTTTATTTCCAAAAACGATTAATTTCAAACCAGAACCAAGTCTTTAGCTGTCATCATCACCACCACGGGGGTGCCACGTGAAAATATAGCGTCCCTGATTGGCTGCTGCCGCTTCAAGCGGCTCAGAGTTGTTCGAGTTGCTCGTCCGTTTCGATCAAGGGAAAGCTAGGGGACAACCTGCCGGCGACCTCAAAATTGCTGGAAAAGTTGCCTCGTATGAAGCAGGCCTTACGGGGCAAACCAACGAAGGCATCTGACATGCCCCAGCAGAGGACTCTTCAGACGGAGCAATTTCACCCAGCAACTTGACGTTGCAACACCAGCAACACGGGCCGCCCGCGTTCACACGCAGCAACCTAATTGCTACCACTTGCCATCATCATCATAAAATTTTATTTTTCTTGCACTATTTAGATGCACACCTACGCTCTAAAAACATGTTTTTGTTTACAAGATGTCGATTGATTACCAGCTCGCCTGCACTCTCTCACTGCTTACAATAGTAACTCATCTTTCTGAAAAGGTTTATTTCCAAAAACAATCAATTTCAAACCAGAACCAAGTCTTTAGCTGTCATCATCACCACCATAAGGGTGTCACGTGAAAATATTGCATCACTGATTGGCTACAGCCACTGATCTCAATGACGATTGCTGGATTGCACTTCCCGCTCCCACAAGTGAAGCCACCGGACGCAACCTGGCTGGGATACGATTTGTGGTTTTGCCAGCGTTTTGCTGCGATTTCCCAGCATGCTGTAAACACGTTTTCTACTCGTTCGCCGTCATTCGCCGAAGAAGTTTTTTAAGACTCTGTGTACCATTGAGACTTGCCGTTGTGAACACGTGAAAAATTTTACGAAAGCGCAGTGTCACAGAAAAAAGTTACAACTCAACGAAAGCCAGTTTCGCCGGTCTGGCGGAGTGTTCAAAGCTTCCTTGGCACGCCGAAGTGCCGTGTCTCTGTGATTTCGCACGCTTGGATACCGACCAAGAATCGACGCTGTGTGGTGTGTTTTGCGAGTGCAATGCGCGTGAAGCCGTACGTATCTAAAGGTACAACTCGTCGAAAGCAAGTGTCGCTGGTCTCGCGGCGTGATCAAAGCTTCCTTGGCACGCCGAGTGCTGCATCGCTTGGATACCGATCAAGAATCGACGCCGCACTAAAGTTCTGAACGTGTCGCGCGTAGATGCCTTTAGATCATTTATATATATACCGGCCATGGAGTTCTGAAACATCCAGCTGTTCTGGTGAGTTGCTGTCGATAAAGGGGGGGGGTAGATCTGCATGTGTTCTTATGTACTATTAACCATGGCTATGATCCAAATCTTCACCAATGGATCACATGGGAGCACGAATAGAGCAAATCTGTGGAGCAAGGAGGGTTTTCGAAGGCGAGAATGAAAATCTGGGAAGCGCAGCCCATATGGTCGTGTGCAATCTGTTGACCAATCACAATTAGGCGAGCCACGCTCAAACGTCAAGTGCAATTAAGTAGGTTGATAATGAGCCAGTACTGATCAGTGATAAGGAGCTGTTTTAAGCAGTATTTTGTAAATCGCCCAAGGACGAAAAAAAGACGTACCTTCCCCCCTCCTCCGTCGCTACTGGACGCTGGAATGAGCTCGTTTCTGAACCGCGAGTGCCGCAAGTATACAGTTGTCAGAGTAAAGTAAGACACTGATCCAGAGGCACATACGGCTTCACACACATTGCACTCGCAAAACACATTCACACGGCGTCGATTCTTGGTCGGTGTCCAAGCATGCGAAGGCACAGAAACACGGCACTTAAGCGTGCCAAGGAAGCTTTGAACACGCCGCCAGACCGGCAAAACTTGCTTTCGACGAGTTGTGCCTTTTTCCTGAGGTACTGCGCTTTCGTAAAAATTCCTATGTCTTCACAACGGCACGTCTCAACGGTGCACTGAGTCTCAAAAACTTCTTCGGCGAATGACGACGAACGAGCAGAAAACGTGTCTACAGCACGCTGGAAAACCGCAGCAAAAGGCTAGCAAAACTAGATTGGAGTCTGCGGCTCTCCCCTCTGTATCGGCTGATCAACAGTAATGAATACTGGACCTAGCCTAGTCAGTCGCGCCTCCCACGACTTCCACTTCCGCTTGGTGTTCCGTTGGTCGGTTGCACTCCCTCAACCGATGTGTCTTTCTCCACCAGACTTCTGGCCGCCTTTTCGTCATGTCTACCGCCGATCGAACGTTCTCTTGCTCTTCCTCTCTCTGCTCTGCACCGATTCGGACGAAACCCGCAAATCGTATGCCAGCAAGGTGGCCATCTGGTGGCTTCACTCGCGCTGAAGCGAACAGTAGCGGGGAAGCGGATTGGAGTCTGCGGCTCTCCCCTCTGTATTGGGTGATCAACAGTAATGGATACTGGACCTAGCCTAGTCAGTCGCGCCTCCCACGACTTCCGCTTCCGCTTGGTGTTCCGTTGGTCGGTTGCACTCCCTCAACCGATGTGTCTTTCTCCACCAGACTTCTGGCCGCCTTTTTGTCACGTCTACCGCCAATCGAACGTTCTCTTGTTCTTCCTCTCTCTGCTCTGCACCGATTCGGACGAAACCCGCAAATCGTATGCCAGCAAGGTGGCCATCTGGTGGCTTCACTCGCACTGCAGCGAACAGTAGCGGGGAAGCGCGATCAGTGGCTGCAGCCGCTTCAAACGTCTTCGAATTGCTTGCTCTGAGTGGAAACAACCAAAGAGCTATAATGTACGCTAGAGGTTCAAGTGGCGCTAGTGTGCTGACGGAAATTAATGCAGACAGCAACCAGTCCAAAATTGACTTCCGGTAATGCATTTCTATGGGAAAAAGTGAGTGCACTTTCTCCCTGCGCTCGATCATAAGAGCAAATATCCCGAATAATTCGTACATACTAAGTAGCTTGGAACATTTCTCAGTCAGGCCGACAAAATAATTGGTCAGTTACGGCGTTTTTTTTTTCAAATTGGTCGGATTAAAAACGGTGCTGAAACGGCTTCGTACATGTATTTATGTGCACTGTCGGACACTGTTAGCACGAACACGACGTCGGCGCTTTTCAGCATGAGGGATATACGTGCTAGACGAACGAAGAACATCTGGAAATAAAGGGAGACGGACGGCAAGAACTATGCAGTAACACTGGATCAGTAACTACCCGCGCATGTACGATCAAAATAAATTGAAGGTCACGTAATATATTCCAATCTTAAATAAGCAAGTACCGCTTTATTCTTTCTGCTTTGTGAGAAGATGTTTGTTCGTACGTTCAAGATATCACCCGCACACTCGAAATCTTCGAGAACAACTGCCCGATAAAAGCTGCCCGACAGAGAAAACAATACGAAAAGACACCTTTCGTAACCCACTTACTTTATTATCTACGTTTTGAATGTTTTTGTCCACTCATGCACGATGGGGTCATTTTCATATAGTGACAGGACTGGCATTATCAATATATATAAGCGTCACCGGAATGCTGGCGAGCCTTGAACGCACTCCATATTCCCTTCAATTGTAATTTTGCTTTGAATCGTCATTTGTTCTTGCACACCTGCTGCGGAACACACGTTTGGGACTGAAATGTAGCGAAGTTAAACATTGCTTACTGATGAAGAAAAATGTGTTAACTAAAGCAATTACACTTTTACAATGTTAATTAAGACACATACTATTCGATACGACCGAAATAACCAAAGTGTTCCGTGTTATTTTCCGGTGAAGAGACAAAATGCACGCGCATTTTCCCATAGGAATGCACAAGAGCACCGCAAAAGTAGACTGGTTGCTGTCTGCTTCAATTTGCGTCACGGAAGTCGCATAGACACTAGCGCCAGTTGAACCTCTAGCGTACATTATAATCAGGGTTGCCAGGTTGGGCTATAAATAGCCAAATTGGGCTAGTTTTATTTGCAGTTGGCGGGAAAAAATGGTAGGTGGCTATTTGGGTAGTATTGGGCTATTTCTGACCTGTGCATTGGGCTATTTCTGACCTGTGCATAGGGCAATTTCTGACCTGTGCTGGAACCAAAATGCCTGAAAGCACTTGGGTTTATAGGTTCGAATGCATTTTTTAGAGTAAGTTACGTGAGCATTTGGCGCTTCAGTCCCTTAACCCTGATAAGTTTGCGACAGCATACAAGTTTGTCTTCTTTTTACGCGCCTTGTGCAATTGTTTACCTCCGAATTTTGTCCGAATGCAAGCATGTGCTGTTATTTCTCTCCATATCAAAAAGTGACGGCGCGATTCCTTGTAGCCTTAAAGGGACACTGACACCCCCCAAAATTTTTTTTTAATTTTTTGCCAGGCGCTTTATTATGGTGTCGGAGGACTACCCAATTAATATTTTGCAACAAAGTAGCGTATTTTTTTGATAAAGCCAAAAGACGCAGCTGCTCGAAACCGAAACCGAAACCCGACGGAGGTTGGAGAAGTGGAGAGAAGAGAGTGAGATGCGGAAGTCACGTGGCTACACCCAACCCTGTTTTTTTTTGTTTTTTGTTTTTTTGTAGCAGACGACATGCGGCGTACGGGAACTGTTCGCCGTGAGATTCTTTTGCAGTTATGTATGTTCCGCTCGTTGTTCTGTACTCGAAGATGAGTTGTTTTGTACATTGAGGAGTTGGAGATGAGTAGTGAGTGCCCGTGGTGAATTTCCATGATCGGCTCCGAAAAGAATACACCCAAGATGTTGCGTGAAGAGCTGGATCACATGTCCTGCGTCCGAAAAAAGTGGCATTGTGCGACAGAGTTTCCGAAAGATTAACGGGATCGGGACCAATGGCTGGCTGCAATTCCTGTAGAACATTTACGGGCACCTCGGAAAGCGGACGCTACCTGATTTATATGCTCCTTGCATTATGTGGAAAGCGATTACATTGAGTTCGCAGGTGTCAAAAAGGAAATCCCATACCATTTAATTCAGCGACGTGTCGTCCACAACATTTGTTTATTTTTTTTTTTGTTTGTTTGTTTCTTCAGTGATAATTGCAAAAAAAAAAAAAATGTAGACATCAAAAATTGTTTGAAAAAAAAAAAAAAAAGCAGGTTTCACAGGGGATCGAACCCGGTCCTACCGCGTGTGAAACGGACGTCTTTCCCACTGAGCTATTGGGGCATTGCTTTTTAGGGGATCTCTTTCCTTAGTAATAATTCAGCCGATATAACTGTAAGTTGGAAAGTTTGCTGCCGATTTTCCTCTAGTAAAAGCACTCCCGGGTCGAAGTCGGGAAGCACCACGCATTGGCGACATTCGCACCTAGTAAAGAAATTGTATGCGTGCATATTCAACTCGAAGTAGACACGTCGTGCTTGACGTTTGCGCGAGCGATGTCTTCAGCCACGAGAACGAAGCGACGGCTCGGCGACGTCTTCGTGCAAATCGGCTTAGTGGCCGGGCGTGTCGTACGGGATGAATACCAATTCTTTTGATCAGTCCCAAATTTCTCTTTTAACGGTAGACAGAATTCGCCGGTACCGCGAACGACAGTTCTGAAATAGAGGTCCCACGCCCGTCGTCCGCTGCCATCGCCGTCCCCGCGAGTCCCACGATACGCGAAGCGATGCACGCACAGAATGCTTCCGGTTCTCAGTGGAACTTTTTTTTCAATCAACGTATTTGCAGCTTTTTAGAAGCCATAAAAAATGGGTTTCATATTTTTTTCTATTTTTAATAATGAGTGTGTGCCTTCAGTGACCCACGACTTTGGCTAAATTTGGTGGTCGCATCGATACCTTAGAAAACGGCCCGTGACCGCGGAAAAGAGAGTGAGCGAGACTCGAACCGGCCAGTTCTTGATCGGCGGTTTTCGGGCGGAAAGAAACCGAATTTCGAGCCGCAAATTCTGTTCTGGGTAGTTGAGCTCTCACATGTCACATACATCTAAAAACCTTGGCGAGCATAAATACCCTGTCAGTGTCCCTTTAACAGCACCTGGGGGGCTATGTTGCACGTTTTGCACTCCCAGGAGACTAGGGAGAAGGAAGTGACGTCAACAACGCAGCAAATGCAGATTGGATGTTGATTTTGTTTTCCTCTGTCAACATCCAATCTGCATTTGCTGTGTCGTTGACGTCATTTCCTTCTCCCTAGTCTTCTGGGAGTCCGAAACGTGCAACATAGCTCCCCAGTTCTGCGCATTCTTTAGGTTGTCTGTTGATTGGCGTGCACCTATAGGAAGTATTCACTGGCGGCCATAGCCGTGTGCACGACTGCCGAGCGCGTGCTGATGGCGAGCTTCCACAGTTCTTTTGTAACGTGCATTCCGCACCCTCAAGGTTGCCGGTCTTAGCAGCCTAATATAGACCCTTTCCGAAATTCAGCGCCATCTGGTGGCTGAAATGGCGGTTTAACTTCTGCCATACGAATGGCGGCAATGAACCCGTAGCCTGCAGTATTTTATCAGGCACCGTCACTTTTGCATGTCAACGGCATACGAGAATAAACTTTTCGCTATACAGGTTTTTCTGGATCATCTCATCCAGTCTCGATTCCCACAACGATGCAACCAGTCAGAACGAAGCGCCAACCCAGACAGACGCCTTGATAAAGTTCTATAAGTCAAGGGGTTTCGAAGTCGATTTTGTGCCAGTAACAGGTTCACTGGGCTCGAATTAGAGAAATGAACACTTACGCAGCGCTTGCATTCAATTCCGGTTTTGCAACGTGCTAACGTCTAGAATGTATAGGCCTCGAATCCTCAGCTTAGGAGTATCTTCAGCATGTTCCTTCATCAGTAAATAGAAAGCCGCCATTGGTATGGCACATATGCCATTTTTCCGATGATGATGATAATGATCAAAGTGGCCAGACTGAATTTCGGGAAGGGTCTATTGTGGGCTCGTTCGTATGTATGATCTCTATGGCTCGTTCTGAGCATGCGCTCTAGACAGCACCCGCAAATATGGCACCCAGTGAATACCTCTTATACTTTGAGTTCAATTCTGCATAGTTCTCCCGTGACGTCATTCTGGTCACCATGCCCCGATAGTAAGCGTCCCAATACACTGGAAGGTATGTTGTCATGCACTTGCGAGCGTTTCAGGAAGTTCTCCGAACGTGCAAGGGACGCCATTTCTTGGGCATTTGATGGATAAAAATGTCTTATGTGTCTTTTCTGCTCAAAATAAACGTTTCAAATGATAAATTTTTCGGGGCTATTTTTCTGGATCAACATTTGGCTATTTTCGCGCTATATCTCGTTGACGTTTGGCGGTTTGGAGTTCAAACACCTCGAAACCCTGATTATAATAACTCTATGGAAACAACCCGCCAGCAACGCCAACATTGCTGAGAAAGTTGCTCCATCTGAAGCGGGTTCATTTGAACCACTCCGGGTTCTTTTGACGTGGAACCGAAATTTCGGCTAAACGGCGCCTTCTCCGCCATAAGCCACCGAGCTGCGCTTAGAGTATCGGCACTCCGTTCCCCGGCGGGAGGCACTCACTTGATCGAATGACGTTTTAGCGAACGCCCACGTTTCATCGAATGACACTTTAGCGAATAGTCGGACGCCGCGAAGCGGCGTTTTCGGGTTGGCCAAGTGAGTTCATATTTTTGTAATGAGTTGCCGCAGACTGTCGCCGCGAAGCGGCGTAAAGCGCAGCGCGACGGATGGGTTAACGCGCGCCCCCGTTATTCGCGGGTCCATATCACAAGAGCGAATGACATTTTAGCGAACGGCGACATTTGAGCGAATGATCGTTTTAGCGAATAACGGGGGCGCGCGTTAACCCATCCGTCGCGCTGCGCTTTACGCCGCTTCGCGGCGACAGTCTGCGGCAACTCATTACAAAAATATGAACTCACTTGGCCAACCCGAAAACGCCGCTTCGCGGCGTCCGACTATTCGCTAAAGTGTCATTCGATGAAACGTGGGCGTTCGCTAAAACGTCATTCGATCAAGTGAGTGCCTCCCGCCGGGGAACGGAGTGCCGATACTCTAAGCGCAGCTCATTTAGTGGCTCTAGAACCCACCATACGAGAGGGGTCCATGTGCTCCTGCGGCATATTCGCAAGAGCATGGTTGCATACCTCAGGAGTGAAAAAAATGATCTTACCAGTTTGTACTGTCGGTCTTGAAACAAGACGTAGCTTCTCGTACCTTCGGGGCCGCAATTTCTCCTCGAATCTTTGGGCATTTTTACCTCTGGGAAAAAAGCACGATGCACCGTCAACTTTTCAAACTTTGGCGGCCGCCATATTGGTAAACAACGCTGCCCGTGGCTGCCCGACGCTAAATTGGTAAAAATTTGAAACTCTTTGAGAAGCTTGTTTTTAAACTGGGTCAGCAAAGTTTTAAAATATATATAGATTGCATTGCTTTTAGTATTTTTTGGCAGCAAAACCAGATCGTAATTCATTGGGCCTCATTTAGTTATAAACATATAAACGAGATGGCGCCAGCTGTACGGCAAAGGGGCTGCAAAGATCATTTTAAAGAAGCTGTGCAACAATTTTTGTACTTTGCGCAAATACCGCTTAAAGGGATTGTCCGGTCGAAACCGGAAGTACTTAAGGTCTTACGCTCGTTACGTCGAGGGAGCCTTCATATAGGAAGCGAGCATGCCGGCCGTGTCGCGGCGGTCGCCTATTGTTCGCCGCGACCTAGCGGTAGCCGCCGCAGGAGCATCGGGGAGCAATGGCGACGAACAGCACGGCAGACAGTGTCCCCGTCGTGATTACGAAGGAATTTAAGGCAGTTACGAATTCGGAAAGTTCCTTCTGTAGCCGGTGCCGTCGGCGCAGAATCATTGGGAAGTAAAAGCAACGAACACCACAGAGGACAGAGGGCGATTACGAATCCGGAAAACTTCTTCGGTAGCTGGTGCTGAATCATCGGGGGGAAGCAATGGCGATGAGCAGCAGAGCGGACAGTGTTCCCGGGGTGATTACGACGGGGTTTAAGGCGGTTACGAATCTAGAAAGCTTCTTCCGTAGTACCAATAAAAAGAAGGAATACTCCTTCGTGAATCTGGCCGCGTGTACGACGTGAAGGAGGTCCGTTTCGACGGACAAGTGGACGTCACGGAGCGCCGTACTCCGCTAACAAAATTAAGCGTGCCCGCAAAAAATGTAGTTGGCGTCGAGTGGACCGTGGTAATTATGTACGTTTATTTCTGAATCAGCTTGACAATAACTGGGCGATTTTTTTCGCGCCGTTCCGCGATTCCCACTACTATCTTCCTGTAGACTGATGGAAACATCCAAGTGTAGGCTTAGGTGGGCGACCGCACTCCGCTTCTCGATTCCGGTGAAGTATTTGCCGCACACTTTAGAGTTTGCCGTCGGTGTCGATTCTGTTCCATCGTCGCTAGAATAGAAAAAAAGTTAATCGTATTATTCGTCAGCAGCTTAAACAAAGCGCGAACAGAAAGGTAAGAAACGCCACTAACCTGTATGGACGCACAAGTCGCACCTGTAGCCTGGTCGCGAAGTACTCCGCCTCGTACGGCCGTACGGCTTCGAAGGGACGATGTAGTACTTCGTGCCGTGTGCGATCTTCGACGTACTGTTGCAGCCGACCACACAGCAATTGTTGCGGCTTTCTTGGTGCGGAATAGCCATCTCAGAAATTACAACGCTAACCCACTACAAGGCACAACCAACGCAGCGACTGGCAGAAGCTCCCCGATGCGATGGACCCGTTTGCCGCTAGGGGCGCCCTGGTCGGGGCTTGAATTAGATGCGCACGGTTCCTATAGACAAACGTCATATTTATTTTGATATATGATCTCCCGTTATTAATTAAACCTTCCATGATCCTATGTACGAAACTGCACCCCTATTTCGCCAGTGTCAATGGCTGACATCCGTAGGTGCTGCGTGACGTCACAAAACGCAAAGGTTTGTCGGATGGTCGGGATAACAAGCGTTGGTCGATGGATGTCTTGTATTTTGTTTCGAATTATATAGTCTCCTAGGCAGTACCCTACTGAAATACGGTTCTTTTAATGCAGTTCCCAAGCACGTGCAAAAAAAGGCACGCCTTTTAGCAGGATATTACTTGCAGACAGCCATAAGCTTCGAGCAAACGTATGCCGTTTCGCGCAAACACAACTGCGACGGACGCCGATCGAACAAGGGGCGCTTGCAAAGCAAAGGATGCAGATTTCGCCTCTGAAGCGGCACTTAGGTACACGAAGCAGCATCTAGGTACACATTTCGGCGGATCCACTGGATCGGTGATGAGGCTGCGGGTCATTCCCTCAGAGGCGACGTCCGCGGGTCGAAGGCAAAGGGCGAACCGTTCAAATGCATGTCGTCACTTGACTTGGACGAGTTTGGTGAATCGTAGCTACGCTCCATTTGCACACGCGGGTCAAACAGATATCGGGCTGCAAGCGTGCTGAATACAACTTCTCGTATCATTTCGAGATGGCCAAGCTGTTGGTTTCGGTTTCGCTGCATAATCAAGGTCTGTTCGATTCGGCCAGGAAGTTCTGAACTATAGTCGGTTAGAAGTCAAGAAGGTAGCGGCAAATGCCCCTCAAAGGGAATCTTTGCATTTCGACGAGAGGTTCGCGGCATCAGGATCATTTTGCGTCGGGGGAGTCACTGGCGGCAGCGCGCGGTCGGTATACCGGTCACCTTGAAGACGAAGGCCTGACGATAGCGTCTTGGCCAAGACATTTATCGACCGTAACTTTGGCGTCAAGTTGAAGCGAGAATCGGCAAAAAAGAAAAAAAAAATGCCGATTCTCGGTGTTTTTCTCAGGCCCGTTAGTGGGCGTCCACAGATACCAGCGGGCAAGGCATGCAGTATTATGCTCAGCTACGGCGACATGCAAGTGCCAACGCACTAAATCCAAGACCTCTGCAATGTATCGGAGTCGTCAATATACATCCAAGAGCAACTGAAGGCGGAGATCATCAAGAAGGCAATACCTTTCCCGTATCTGTAAGTAAGAATATCTACACTGTGGATCCCCGCATAGCATCAAAAAGAAACAATTTACGTGAGCCAATATTTCAACACTCACCACAGGGAGCCAAATCTACGCGAGCAGGTGCCTAAAACGCTTTTAGAATATCATAATCAAGCAAATTCCTACCCTAGGTTATGATCTCAATTCCGCGCCCACCGCGGGTAAGTTATTATCATAAATGAAAGGAAATGCAACCTCCGTATCCCGTTATTGTTAAACATAGCAGACATTTGAGCAATCGCTGCGAAAAATGGCACCGCGAGCAGAGACGGACGAGGAGTTCTGCTATCGCCGTCTGCTCTTGTCGTCTGCTTCTGCACGGACGCTGAACCGAGTCCGGAGCCGGTGCAAGGTTTTGAGGAACTGGGTCTGAACTCGTTCAGAACTCGGATGTATCGAACGCGCCAGTGCAGCGGTCGTGCAACTTCCGGTTGAATCGAATGCACCAGTTCCTGCGCTGCCGAACTAGTTCAGCCAGTTCAGGCGAATCGAACAGACCTAAATTGACTGATCCGATTTGGGCGAGGAGTGGATGGACGTAGTTTAATATCGTTGGCACAGCATCACACCTCAGCTTACAAGCCTTCTGTCCGCTGAGAGCTCAGCTCGTAGCTTTCTTCTGTGAGATGATTGCTGCATAAGCAGGATCTCGATCTGGACGGGAACCCTGCAGTCCCTACGCATGACGGCGATCTACTTTGCTCGTCACTGCACGTCTCGCGGAAAAGTGTGGAACGTCATGTCTTGGCTCGCATGTGCTGCCCGGTGGTTGTGGCACCCAACCGCGCAACAAAAATCTCACCCAACCACGAAACAAGTCGCGCACAACAACAAAAACGAAGCACGCTCTGGCGTTCACTCGCAGGCAAACAACGAGACAAAAATGCTCGCTTTGTGTTTTGTGACGTCAGAGCTTCAATGTTGCCTACGATATTCATGATATTCAATTGTTTTCTCGAATACAAAATTTGACCGGACAATCCCTTTAAAACGGATCCCTAACGTTAATGACCTATGAAACACGCGTTCGTTTTTCACCCCACGCAATAGAAGTCCCAGAAAAAAATTAAAGAAAAACGAGCAGCGTTCACCCCCTCAACTCGCAGCCAGAACAAGCGGCCACGTGATCTGGAGCCGATTATATGCCGCCCAATGTTGATCATAGCCACGCGCTGGGGTTGGCAAAGCGCAGAACACGCGCTGTGTTCCAGACAGTAGGGAGTTTTAGTACATCGTTTTCGTGCAGCCGCTCTGCAGAGCGGAGCGCAGAATCGCCACTGCGCATGCGCGCCGATGGCCTTGGCTGTAGAGTTCCGGGTAGCGGAGGGGCTTAGCGGAGCGGGAAACACGGTTTACTAAAACTCACTATTGTTATGGCTCGGCTGTTGTCGTCGTTGCAGCGATTGGACGCGGGTCACTACCCGAATGCTTCTCGAGCTAGCGATTATCGCGAGCCCAAGTCGAGTGCCCACGCAATGCTCGGGTCCAATCTATGAACCGCATTCAAATATCGTCACTTGGGCGTACTGCGATCCCCACGTTACGTCATCAAATTTTGCAAAGGAGAGATTGAATGAAAATGATCGGTTTTGTCCTTGAAATTACACCGCAACAAAGGAGTTTCTTGGCCAGTGGCGTTGCGTGTAAGTATCCTTGAGTCCCAGGTGTGCCAGTAAGCTCGTATCAAGTGAAAAACATTCCAATTGAATATCGTTGCACAGCTCCTTTAAACAGAGAGGAGAGGTCTCTCCTCTCAACCTGGCTCGTCGTCTGTTGCGTCCGTGGCTCCGTAGATTGTATCGAAGATACAAGTATCTTCGATACTATCTTTCGGTACATTTTGTGCATCGGTATTAGGTATCGCTTGCCAGAAATGAATATAGCGGCGTATCGGTACCGAAAATGCATTTTTATTGTATCGTGTATTTTGACGATACTCGATACTCAAAAAAAACTATAACGAAATTTCGGCGCTTATTTTTTGTTCTATACGTGTTCAAATGAGCAGTATCAGATCGGACACACCAATATCTTGCTAAAAAAAGACACGAAAAGGAACTTTAAAACAAATGAGAGAGAGAGATGATATGTTTATTTACAGGAAAGCAAAGAGGTCCACCTGTTTGTGAGGGCTGGTTTGCTACTTTGCGTGAAAAGGAAGAGAGTAGAGAGACAGCAGACAGAACAACAGAACAGATAAGTCAAAAAAGAGTGAAGCCGCAACCCCCCCCCCCCCCCCCCCCCGACCCCCCCGCACCAAGTTAGCTCCCCTTTTCCTCCAGTAGCGC